CAGTTGTGTTCGCGTTTAGCAGGAATCTGCTATGATGGAGAGTTTGTGTCTAGATGCCCATCTTCTGTCCAGCCCCCAAAATAATAAACTACTTCTCTCCCCCCCTCACCCTTCAAATTCTCTGCAGATGCATGAAGAAAACCTAGTGCTGGCTTTTTTTTTATAATGATTACCCAGAGGTTTAATAAGAATGGAGATTAAGCTAGATGTTGTAATCTGTACGTGTATCAGACAAAAGAAACCCTGGCCTCGCATCTCATGGATTGGCCAGGTAAGTGTGATGAACTTCTGTTTAAATAATACAGTTCTGCAAAGAGTGTTTTTTTAAATTATATCGTATTTTGCACTACTGTTTGGGGGGGGGGAGGGCGAAAAAAAAACTCTGAGAGTGATCTGAATGTACCTCACTTAAAAGTTATTGAAGTTTTTCCGTCTTACTGATTTGAGGGTGGAGATTCAAAATTTCTTAGTTAAACAATGGGGAGTCTTTTTTCTTTCTCCCCCTGCCCCATCTCTTATATGATATTGTTACTTTGATGGTTCTAGCTTTTCATAATGTTTTTGCAGTACGTTGTTGGAAATCAGAAACTTTTTTTTTTTTCCCATTTGGTGGTGCATCTGTTGACAGACATGTTTTCTTAAGTTTTTCTGATAAAATGAGAGAAGTATTCTTTCCTTATTTGTGTTTTACTAGGTAACCATTTCAGGGCAAGACCTTCTATAGAAATGGCTGGCAAAAATATCACCAAATTAAAACACCAGAGGACAAGAAAACTAGTGTCTAATTTGTTGTGTTGTCATTTGATGGCAGGTAGTTCAGCTGAGGAAGCTTGAAGGAAATTTTAATAGTAATTGTAAAATTGGTTTAATAATTTGAAACTCGTTAATCTAATTCATCTTGAATGTAGGTTGTTGCTAGGTATAACATTGTACTGTAAAGTAAATAGGACAAAGAATGAAGTTAATACGATAATTACAGCTGTAGCATCTTTTCTTTTTTAAAAAACTGTTTTCCTTGACAGTTTTTATCTCTGCATTGTTTTTCAGGCTTATGTAGGAAATAACATTATAAAAAATTAAATGCTCTTTTTTCTTTCAACAGGAAAAAGAGGCTATTTTTCTTCTAGATGATAAACATATAAATGAAATTAACCTGGCATCAGGGAAGACAAAGAAGAAGATTCCTCAGCTGCAGTCGTTGTTGAAAAATGTAGTTGTTTTGTCAACATCAAGAAATGGTTAAGTACAGTATTTTATGTATTATAAACTCATGTTATTTCCTTTGTAGTTGTAACAGTTCAGAAAGGTAGAATATCTGAAGGATGTGCCAGTTGACTTTCAGATTTAGAACTGTGGCTAAGATGGAAGGGAAGTAACTTCAAGTACTTCATGATTGTTCCTTCAAAATATCTCTTCCCTGATGAACACAGGTGCTTGGTTGGCAGGAATACTTGCAACAGGAGAGCTGTTTCTTTGGAATAAAGATCAGGACTGCTTGAAAATTGTGCCAGCAATTGATGAATCTAGGAAAGTAGTTGCAGCAGCAGGAGGTAGGATTTTTTTCTATTAGTCTTTGAAAAATGGAATAGTGTGAAAGTGGTTTTCACGTTGTTAAATGTTGCTGCCCATGTAAAAGCTGTATTCTCATCTTGTTTTGCATTTATGTGATTTGTGTGCTAGCTAATCTTTGACAAATGTCCTCTTTGTCACTTGAATAGTACAGTTTTTTGCATTGAGTAATCTCCTGTAAATAGTAATTAATTTCTAAATGCGATAAGGATTTTATTTTTTAATGGATATTTTTAAAGTATAGAAAAACATTCGTTACTAGGTTACCTGTACCTTAGAGCAGACATACGTCTGATGTAAACCCTAATATTTAAGGTGGAAGAGAAGAAATTTCCTTTCTCTTTTCTTTTTAAATCTTACTCTAACAAAAGCAGAAATTATTCTAGCACATTGATGTGTTAGTTTGTTTTTTTTTTTCCCCCAGAGTGTTTAATGAGATTGTACTTGTATGTATCTGGAGATGGCAGAAAGGCACTATTAACTACTCCTACAGCATGTGTCTTTTTGTGGGAGACCACAGAACATGAAAATACATCCTCTTATAAAAATTCTTCTGGGCGTTGGACTCAAATTTTGCCTGATGAGTCAGTTATGTTGCCTTCTACTGAAGAAAAAGAAATCGGAGTGCATGCTGCTTTCATACAGAATGAGGTAAAAAATTAACCCTAAAGCAGTCATTTGATCTCTTAAATAAATCAGAGCTGTAGAAGCTACAGTGAGTTTTGAGAGAGGTATGTCTTCATCTTTGACATTGTGTGTAGCCTTAATAGTTTGGTTCATCTTTAGATCTAATGACAACGTAAGAACAGCAATACTAGATCAGATCAAAGTAATCAGTAATGTTCTTGCCAGCCTTTACATTTATGAATGACAACATTATTACTTAATCTCAATTTGACTACCTATTGATGTAAATACATAAGTAACTAAAGCAAAAACTGTGTGTAATCAGGTTTTGGGGTTTGTTCTGGTTTTGATTGTGTTTGTTTTTTTTCTCTGCAGATACTGGGTGATTGCTGTTTATGTTCTTTTGTGTTCTACTCTGGGGAGTCTTTGGTGCTCACATTTTTGATTCTTCAGTGGCATGAAAATAGCTTTAAATATGTTAGGTAAGTTCAAAGATACCTGAAGTTATGGTAGTTTAATAGGAAGATTCTTATTATGAAGGGCTTTATAGTTGGGGTTCAGAGTTGCAGTTGAACGCATTGACATTGATACCTAGTTAGCCTATGCTGTAAGTAGCTGCTTATGTTTGCATAACCTGGGGCACGGGTTGTATTTTCATCTCTCATCTCTTTCATCTGTGGGTAGTGACACTGGGAGATTCGGGTGAATCCAATCTGTTAATACATGGCTCTGTGGCTGGTGTCACTGGCACAGCTTTGGGTTCTTTGGCAATGGGGTGGCCTACACAGCACCAGGCTTGCTACCTCAAATGGGAGTCACCTTTCCCAAAGAGTAAAGAGAGATTTCAGGGCTGATTGACAGGGATTTAAACTGCTTACAAAGGGGGAGGGGGATAACAACATCAGGCTCATGAGTGACAGGCTGTGGCTGACACACCAGGAGCAGAGGGACAGAGTGCTACTGAAGGCCTTCAACCAGTTACTCTGAGGCAAGCTGGGGACGCAGCACTGCAATTGAAGTCTTACGGAGATGAACCAGGGGGTCCTGAGGTAGTAGAAGCCAGCGGGGAAACATCCGTGGAACACCTCAAGAGAATTACGGGGTGTTCCATCAAGAAGGTGACATGGCCAACAGTCTGGCTGAAGTGCCTCTACACAAATGCCCACAGCATGGGCAACAAACAGGAGGAGTTAGAAATCGTGTGCGGTCAAGGGGTTATGATCTGATGACAATTACAGAGACATAGTGGGACATGACTGCAACGTGGTCATGGGTTGCTCTGTCTTTGTCAGGAAAGACAAGCCAACAAGGCAAGGAAGTGGAGTTGCTCTTTACGTGAGAGAGCAACTGGAATGTGTTGAGTTCTGTCCTGGGAAGGATGAGTGAGCTAAGAGTTTGTGGGTGAGAATGAAGGGGCAGGTTAGCATGGGTGATGCTGTGGTGGGTGTCTATTGGAGGCCACCTGATCAGGAGGAGGAAGTTGATGAGGCCTTCTACAGGCAGCTGACAGCAGCCTCACAATCACAGGCCTGGTTCTCGTGGGGGCCCAGATATTTGCTGAAGGCCTACCCAGCCGGTCATCCACAGTCCAGGATGTTCTTGCAGTGCATCAGTGATAACTTCTTGATGCAAATAGTGGATGAGCTGACCAGGTGAGGAGTGCTGCTGGATCTTGTGCTCATGAACAAGGAGGGTCTCATTGAAGCGGTGAAGGTCGAGGGCAGTCTTGGCTGCAGCAACCATGAGATCTTGGAGTTCAGGATCTGGTGCAGTAGAAACAAAATACCAAGCAGGATCGCAACCCTGGACTTCAGCAGGGCTAACTTTGGTCTTTTCAAGCAATTTCTAGGGGAAATCCCATGGGACAGGATACTAGAAGGTAAAGGGACCCAAGATAGTTGGTTAATATTCAAGGACCTCTCTTCCAGGCTCAAGGTCAGTGCATCCGAACAGGTAGGAAATCAAGAAGGAGAGCCAGGAGACCCACATGGTTAAACAGAGAACTGCTGGCCAAACTCACGTGAAGGAACAGAGTCTATAAATCGTGGAAGGAGGGGCTGGCCACTTGGGTGGAGTAGAAGACTGTTGTCAGAGGATGTGGGGAGGCAATTAGGAAAGCTAAGGCCTCTATGGAATTACACCTTGCAAGGGAGGTCAAGGACAACAGAAAGGGCTTCTTCAAATACATTGCAGACAAAACTAACATTAGAGGCAACGTAGGCCCACTGCTGAATGAGGTGGGTTCCCTGGAGACAGAGGATACATAGAAGGCAGAGTTACTGAATGCCTTGTTTGTGTCTGTCTGTACAGCAGGAGACTGTCCTCAGGAGCCCCAGAGAAAGTCAGGGTAAAGGAGGAGTTTGCCTTGGTTGATGAGGACTGGGTTAGGGATCAGTTAGGCAATGTGAACATCTACAAATCTGTGGGCCCTGATGGGATGCATCTGTGGATGCTGAGGGAGCTGGTGGAAGTCGTTGCTAGGCCACACTCCATCATCTTTGGTAAGTTGTGGGCAACAGGAGAGGTGCCTGAGGACTGAAGGAAAGCAAATGTCACTCTGGTCTTCAAAAAGGACAGGAAAGAGGACCCGGCTAACTACAGACCGGTCACCTTGCCTCACCAGCCTCACCTCCATCCCTGGTAAGGTGATGGAACAACTTATCCTCAGCACTGTCTTTGGGCTTGTCAAGGATAAGAGAGTGTTTAGGAGCAGTCAACGTGGTTTTACCAAGGGGAAGTCATATTTGACCAACCTGAGAGCCTTTTATGAGGACATAACCACCTGGATGGATGATGGCAGTGCAGTGGATGCAGTTTTTGTGGATTTCAGTAAAGCATTTGAATGCTGTCTCCCACAGCATCTTCATAGCTAAACCGAGGAAGTGTGGTTTGGATGATTGGGTAGTGAGGTGGATTGTGAACTGGTTCAAGGAAAAAGTCAGAGAGTTGTGGTCAGTGGGGCAGAGTCCAGTTGGAGGCCTGTGTCTAGTGGGGTCCCTCAGGGGTCAGTCCTGGGGCCAGTGCTGGATGAGGGAATAGAGAGCACTGCCAGCAAGTTCGCTGATGACACAAAACTGGGAGGAGGGGCTGACACACCAGAAGGCTGTGCTGCCATTCAGAGAGACCTGGACAGGCTGGAGAGTTGAGTGGGGAGAAATCTTAAGAAATTCAACAAGGGCAAGTGTAGAGTTTTGCACTGGGGAAAGAACAACCCCACGTACGAGTTATAGGATGGGATCTGACCTGCTGGAGAGCAGCGTAGGGGAAAGGGACCTGGGGGTTCTAGTGGGCAGCAGGATGCCCATGAGCCAGCAATGTGCCCTTGTGGCCAAGAAGGCCAATGGCATCCTGGGGTGTATTAGAAGGGAGGTGGCCAGTAGGTCGAGAGAGGTCCTTCTGCCCCTCTCCTCTGCCCTGGTGAGGCCACATCTGGAATATTGTGTCCTGTTCTGGGACCCTCAGCTCAGAAGGGACAGGGAACTGCTGGAGAGAGTCCAGCGCAGAGCCACAAAGATGCTGAAGGGAGTGGAACATCTCCCTGATGAGGAAAGGCTGAAGGAGCTGGGTCTCTTTAGCTTGGAGAAGAGGAGGCTGAGGGGTGACTTCATTAATGTTTATAAATATGTCAAGGGGGAGTGTCAGGAGGATGGAGCCAGGCTCTTCTCAGCGACATCCAATGACAGGACAAGGGGCAAACGGTTCAAACTGGAACACAGGAGGTTCCACAAAAATACTAGAAAAAAGCTTTTTCCCTGTGGGGGTGCCAGAGCCCTGGCACAGGCTGCCCAGGGAGGTTGTGGAGTCTCCTCCTCTGGAGACATTCAAAACCCACCTGGACACGTTCCTGTGTGACCTACTGTAGGTGATCCTGCTCTGGCAGGGGGGCTGGGCTAGATGATCCTTTAAGGTCCCTTCCAACCCCTGACATTCTATGAGATGTGTTTTACCATATATATGCATGTATGGGCAATATATGCATATATGATCAATATATGTCCCATTACATTTTGGAGTATTTAAGTGTAACAGCACTTATATATGTATCCTGTGTCATTATTAACTTAAACCTAAATAAAACTTGAGTGCATTTATCTGTATGTGGGTGGCTATGTGTACATACATAGACCTGCACACACGTATGTTAGTGTCAGGGTTTTTTCCATCATGCTAATGGAATTACCTCTTCTTGTTTTTCCTACATTAGTAAGGCATACTGTGAAGCTGTGGATGTCCTGAATACCTCTTTCTCTTCTTTATTATGCATGCTTGTGTATTTTATTTGTTTTCTTCTCCCCTTTTCATTCTTTATGCATAGACTCTATAAGACTATGTGCGTGTGTTTCTTTGTGTGGGCATGTACTGAAATAGTTATGCAATCACCTAAAACTGAAGTTGGATAATAATCCTGAATCCTTTCCTCTTCATGAATGAGATGTGTGTACGAGTTTAAATGGGTGTGTCCTCTGAGAGTATAACTTGAGTAGCTTGTTAAAATTTTGCCCTACGCTTCACGTGGTGCAGCTGCTTTTGTTAAATGATGCCGTTTTGATACTAACTTGGTAGTATCAAATACTAACTTGCCCCACTTAGCAGCATCACGGAGTTTGCCTACAGCATGATAATGCCTTTGTGGCAGTACAAAAAAAATGGAATGGAGCATAGCATTCCGAGTGCTGAAGTGTGTATATATATATATATGTATACACACCATAGTACTTGCAGCACAAATTTGTAATGACGCTTTTCAGCCATGTAGCTTTTAATTTATTTATGCTGGCTATTGCTCAATTTCATTGCTTAGTATTGTTTAATTCTTTTTTTTATGTTAATGCTTTGTCTTTTCTCTGTTAGGTGGTATGCTTCCAAATATATCTTGTGTTTTCTGTCAAGTTTTCAGTGTTTTTTAGATTTCAGAGTGGTTTGGGTTGGGAGAGACCTTTAAAGATTGTCTAGTCCAACCCCCCTGCCGTGGGCAGGAACAACTTTCACTAGATCAGGTCACTGGAAGCCCCATCCAGACTGACTTTGAACATTTGCGATGATGGGGCATCCACAGCTTCTTTGTTCAGAGCAGCATACTGTTGATTTCCATGTTCAAAATATGCGTATTCTTGCATTGGATGGCATTACACAGTCTGAGGAAGCTGTTCCAAGTGCCTTGATTATATGGCATGCATCTGTATTTATTTGCATGTGCTATTCACATAGCCCAAATTCTTGTCCCATAAAAACAATTTTCAGTGCTCAGACATAGTTTTTCCAGCTTGTGTGAATACAAATATTTTTCATTTGTAAGGTTTTTAAAGATAAATAGGTGATTTTTTTTTTTTTTAGTCATTCATACTTACAGTGTTGTCTTGCGTGGTTTCTTTTAATTTTTTTATTTATGAATCATTCCATGCATAACTGAGAAACCTCTTGGTTTTGTTGTCTTCTCTGGTATTCAGTTCTTTGCCATATGAGATCCACTGGATACAGCAGACTTGTTCTCTTGATAGTTTGGTTCCTCAGTGTGTGTCTGTAAAGTCAAGAGGAGCTTTGCTATGTGCATTTGCGAGAGATGGACTTCTGCTTGCAGTAGCTGTTAATCAAACTGATCCAAAGGTATGAATGATAGACAATATATAATGTGAGCTGACAGTTCAGTTTGAATTAAATGGTAGCAAATATTTAATAACACATTTTTAGGAGTGATTTTTTTTTCAGCATTCTCATTGACAAATGTGATTATATTCAGATTTATATCCATAGCTAAAAAATTCTGCCATAACCTGTAATTCCTTGAATGCTGTTGTTCAGTAAAGAAATCCATGTAAGTCCTTCAGTCATTTTTAATCTCCAAGAAATACAAAAGTAAAAAAATTATTTTGTATCTGCAGAGAGTCTGGGTAATTCTCAGTCACGCTCTCCAACATGTGTTGGAGGTTATATTCTCACTTCATAATGTTACTTATTCTAACAACTCGGAGGCCAAATCTTAGTATTGTTTTTAGTGCTAATTATGACGGGGAATGTGGACCAACTTACGTAGTATACTGGGATGCGATGATGTAGTCCTTCAAAGCTCCCATTGTTATTCACCAACAAGACTAGAAATGGGTGATCTTATTTTATTTTGAGGGTTTTAGAGATGGTTCTGTTAAAAAGAATATCTAATTATGTATCTATTATATAATAATCTTTAATTATTTTTCAGATGTAGAAATAGGTATTAAAATTAATAAATAAATAGTTATATTTATTGAAGTGCAGTGTCACGCTGTACAATAATAATAATATAAGTACTTGAAATTCAATGCATAACTTGCTAATAGAAATTGTTTTTTACAGTAATGGCATTTTGATACAAACTTTATCTTTACATTTTTTTTCTAGGCAACTCAGGTTTTGTTTTTAAACACGCTGAATTTTGTAACTGTTTCGGGTAACCTTAAGGGTTGTAGTAGCAGGAATAGCACAGTCCCATCCAAGTTTATCAGGTCAGTAATTGATGTTATTTCTGTTGCTGTTGTAGATTCTTGGGTTTGTATTGGGGTTTTTGTTTGTTTTGTTTGTTAGGTTTTTTTTTAACTATCCGAACCATTTGACACAGAAATTTGACAGAGAATAATCTTTTTTGCTGTCCAATTTAGGTCTTACTGGATTGGCGATATGAGTTGGACCCCTGATAGCCTTTTCTTGGCCTGCATGTTAAAACGTGGATCTTTGATTTTACTGACATGTCGGGGTGAATTGCTGACCTTGATTACTTCTGGTTGCTCTGTGGAATTTGGACCGGCAGAGTTTATTCCATTTCATCCACTAATAACATACAGGTAAAATGTTTTGAAAATGTTTACATATTTTTGTCATATTAAGGTATAATACTTTCTAATATACTTTCTAACAATTTTTGCATAAACTTTGTCTTTCAAATTCACTCTTTTGCTTTTCATGTATCCTCTCAATGTCTGTTTTTCATTCATAGTTCTACTTCTGATAATGGGTTTGTCGTGATGAAAATTGGCATTGTGGCAATGTAAATATATATTAAGTGATTTGTTTTCTTAAAATGGTTTGAATTTAGTAGCAATTTAAAGTAATGTGTTTTTATAGTATAAGGAGAAATAAAACTTACAGAAGAGTAAAAGTGCAGATTTATTTTATCCAGTAATATTTCTCTGCTCACTTTAATTTTACCTGTAGAACTTTATATCTCATTTCCATATCAGATATTGTAAAAAATGTATTTGTGTGGACAAGAGCAAGTTAAATGTTTTTTGGGGTCCTCTAGATCTGAATTTTGAAATTACGGTAGTGGTTGCCTGGGGAAATAGAATGATTTTTATAATACTTTTTACCACGAATTGAAAATGACAAAAAGTAGCACAGTCTGAATAACTAGAGGAAACAAATTAAAATAAAAGCGTCATTCAAAGCAGCATAATGCCTTTTTAAACTGTCTGGTTGAAAAATCAGATACTAAAATATATTTAAATACCTTAAATACGGATGTTTATTGAATGTGTTCAGCTACTTTTTCGAATAATCTACTTACTTGTGGACTATTAAGAAATTTAAAAAGAACCCAAACAGTAATTTTACACATTAGAATTATGGGACTAATATTACAATACATGCACAGTACAGCTTTCTAGAACTCAGTAAGGAGTGATTTCTTTATTAGAAAAAGCTTTGTATGACCTCTTTTGTAAGAGAAGACTTGTGTATTGATTTAAAGTACTTCTGAATGTTGAATGTCTGAACTGATTCTGAAATACTAAGATTCAGATCTTCAGGGATGTTTTTGTTTTCGTACAGGACTCTTAGAAGCTAGTTAGACTTTAATCTTCAAGCACTTGTCATACACAGTAAGAGTTAGATAAGAAAGTGTGATACAGAAATTTAAAGATAAATTTTGAAAAAACACATATAGTGCTTATTAATGAAATAATAGCTGTGTTTTTTCCTTTAAATTAGAAAAGTAGCAATTGCATCAAAATGCCAGCACCTTGCAAGCATAAATTTTGTTAACCTGAGTACTCTTCCTGAAAAAAGTTAGATACTTCCTTAGAATTCTGAGTGGACCTACTGGAACAGCAGTGTGAGTGATTGTCACAGGTTAGGGCTTGGCTAGCTACTAAACTCTCACATATGTTATATATTAATCCTTCGTCCTTCCAAAACGGGAAGGGAAGCGGAATGCAACAAAAGAGACTTACAGATTGGAAAAGTAAACCAGCTTAAATAAACAATAATAGTACTGATAAGGAAATAATGCCAATAATGAAATATATACAAAACTGATACCAAACTCACCTCACCTGCCCGGATAGCAATCCCTACTGACACTGCAGAGCAGGTGGCACCAGGGAAGCCCCAGGCTCAGCATCAGCGGGGAGATGGACACAGGAGCTGGGTTCAGGAACTCAGGATTGAGGGCAGAAGATCGGATGGAGTCCTCCTTGGATGCTGGCCATTAGAGCAAGAGGACTCAACCCCACCATGATCCCTCAGCTTTATACTGAGTACAGTGTATATGGAATGTGTCTTGTTGGTCACCTGTCCTGTCTGTTCCTCCCCGGAGGTTCAACCTTTTACTTCCTTGTGACCCCTCTCACTACCCGGCACCCCCAGCGTGGCACACAAGAGCCAGCAGTGGCCTTGGTCACTGTAGGAATAAGTATCAGCCAGAGCCTGTCTGCATCCCAGTCCCAGGCAGTGACTGTGAACATCAGATGTTATCACTGCCAGTAGCACACACTGTCTGCCAAAACATGCTGCTGACTGCAGAAAGTGCAGCCTCTTAGAAGAGACTAAACTGGAAGGTAAAATCACTGAACAGAATTGGTTCAGTTTAGCTGAAACAAGGACAGTGGTATTACATGTTCGTAAGTTGTTCCTTCTCTGTTCTGTAAATGATTGTTATATATTATTGTTGCTTCTTATTTTTGATTTATCTTTGCTTTAGACAGCAGCACTCGTTTTGTCAAGACTCTAGTCAGTCTCTTGGTTCTTCAGCTTCTGAAAGTGACCTTATGAGACAGAGATTCTCTGTTGCTTCACATTCAAGATTACCCTACCTCATTGTCTCTGATGGATACATGATAACAGTGCTTAGATTTCCTAGCAACTTTTCACCATCAGGATTTATAAGATCTCTTTTGCTCGATTCAACTCAACGGCTTGAAAATACCCGTCAGAATTTGTTGAACTCCAAGGTACGGTTATTAATTAATTTGTATGCTTTTAATTAAAAACTTCATGTGTATAAAAATATGAGATTTTAAACCGAGGTACTTAAAGTTTGATATTTGTACAAATTGCTTTGAGTAATGAAGTTTTGGAAATAGTATTGATCTGGAAAACGATGAATGGACTTTTTAAGAAATTTTATTCCTTTGATGTCTGAGTGATGTTTCCATAAAATATAGTAAAGTCTTAACTGTCACTACATCGATTTTGAAACTGTAAAAGAAGTTGGGATTTCTTTATCTACAGAGTTGGTTCAGAGCCTTGACAGGTATTATGGTACTCTTACCAAATCGTGCTTTGAGTCATGCAGAAAGGATTCTGTAAAACTTCTCCATCTTGGTTGCTACTGGTTTAGAGCAGTCAGCAACAGTCCCGGTGATGTTGTGTGCGTGTGTCCACTAAATCCTCAACTGAGGTTGTCAGTTAAAGCTTGCTTAAAACATTTTTGTTTATTTTTCTGTTGTTTCTAAACTGAGGTAAGTCTGGGAGAAAGAAAACCTTTGAAGGCAGAGAGCCTGCAACTGTTGCCAATAACCTAAGATGTAAAAGATACTGAGTTCAGAATTTTTGCATTTGGAATATGTCTCTTCCAGTTCAGTTTGTGTTTTGTTTATTTGGATATGTGAGTAATGATGGTATTCACGCATAAGCTAGAAGACTAGGCAAGGATTTAGAGAGGTATGTTACTAGTAAGAATACAGGTTTACATATTGGCAAGCTGTAGGATCGTATCGGAGATCAAGAAAGCAGAGTTTTTAGACGTGAAACAAAGTTGACATGCTGAGGAGATTCTCCATTCCTGAAGCATGGTCAGATGATTGTTTGCTTGCAATGTATGCCTGATGACCTACGCTCCCATTCTGCCTGGGACATTTAAACTGAAGCTTTTCACAGAAGGGGACAATTTCCATGTTTTGTTTAGAAAGCATCTGGTTCTTGCTAGAGGCTGATAATATGTTTTGCTTTATTGTTATTTCTTTTAGTGTAAAGGCAGACCTCTCTGCTTACAATCACTGTTGTCTTTAAAAGCTAGTCTTCTAAAACATGCTCAAACCCAAAGTCCTGTCTTTTCCACCATTCCGAAATTCCTGGAGGAGGACACAACAGAAATGAGTGAGAAGACCGTGGACTTACTGGTATTTAATAGCACTTTTCCACTTACAATCATGCAAATTATTTGATTTTAAGATATTCTAAGATTGCTTTTTTCAAATGATGTAGGTATATTTGCTCTTAATAGGTATATTTAAAGTAGTTCAATATTGGTTAAATTCTCATTTTCTTTATAGGTGTGGGGAATATGGTTATTTTTTCCAACTGATACTTGATTTTTATTTTCAAACATTTTTTAGCAGTACATTAACTTTGTGAAGAATACATACTAACGTACATATGCATCAGTTCCTTGTCGTTTAAGACTTCAACTTTGCTTTATTATAAAATGGAATATTACACTACTAAATATACTGGGGCTGTAGAGTTTTTCAGCACAAAGAACATTATTACTGTACTTAGTAAATATTTATCCTCAGTTTTAGAGGGTTCTTCCATCATTTCAAAAATTCATACATATCTTTTGGAAGAACGGTTCTGTGATCGAAGTTACTGTGCAGCCTATTACAACTCTGTTTTATGGCTTTTGATTTGTTCTTTGAACTTTTGCTGAGTGGCTTTTTTTATCTTACAGATACCTTACAGATATGTCAGAAACTCTTCCTCGTGGTCGGGGCTTAGAAAAAGACAGACTTTTCCCTTTTTGGTGCTGTAAACACAGCTACTGTGTTTACGGCGTATTTTTTGTTGTTGAGTAATTTAATTTCCTTCTGCATAACTGTTCCAAACAGCCACATTATTTGAAATCTAGATGAAACTGCTGTAGATTAAACTTGGTAGCAATCATAGAACCATAGAATCACTTAGATTTAAAAAGATCTTTAAGATCATCAAGTCCAACTGTTAACCTAGCTCCACCACAAAACCCGTGTTCCTGAGCACCTCAACTGCACCTGTTTTAAATACATCTAGGGATGGTGACTCCACCACTTCCTTGGGCAGCCTGTTCCAACGTTGAACAACACTTCTGCTTAACTCGCTCTCTGCTTAATTAACTTGCTTAATCCTCAATTAAGCAAGTTACTTAGACATAAAGATTTCATTTGTGAGACTGACTAAATGGAGTTTTCTTGCAGACTATGCTTTCTCTCTCAGTAGACTTGAATTAAACTGACCATTTCTTTTTCTCTCGTTTAGGATTATGAAGAATCAGATGAGGAAAAGCAGTTTTTCAAGAGTCCTTCCAGCTTCTACAGCCAAAGAATCCATTCATTTGTTGATAAAGCTGATGAAGGCCACTTAGAATTTGCATCAATGTTTGATACTATCCACGCAAAAGACAACGCTGAAGAGAGAGATAAGTTGTCAGTGGAACTTTGTTCCATTTGGAAAAACCTCCTTGCTGCATGGCAGATAGGTATTTCAAAAAATGTGGAAGAGAAAGATACTTTGCTGAATTACACAGTGAATTGCATTATCCATTTTTTAAGCATTCTTCAGTTTGTGAAATGTTCTTTGCTAAATGGAGATGCATCTTTAAACAAGTCTGTGAAGAGTACTCACTGGATGCAATGTGTCCTAGAATATTTTCAGCAGTGTTTAACTGTCTTATACTGGCATTCAAGAGCCGGTCTGACTGGACATGTGGCAAAACTGACATTACAGACTTTAAAACTGATGCTTATACAGCAGCAAGATCAGTTGTTCTCAAAACACCTTTTGGCATGCTTCTGTCTTTTGAAAATGGTTTCTCATACTCTAAGTAGTGTGTGTGTACTACAGTATGAGAGTTTTTTAACATCTCATGATAATAGTCTTGTGGAACTTGACTCCCTCACTGTGCCTATTTTCCTAGTTCTTGGTGAGGGTACTACTCAGCAATTCAGCTCAATGATATCTCAGCTTAGAGAGCCTCCACGAACAGTAAACCATGATGCAAAAACAGAAAAAAGGTATGAATGATCTTTGCATGGAGAAGAAAAGTATAAGGGGCAACTGGGTGATTGGGTCCAGTCAGCATGTGCTTATGAAAGGTAGTTCCTGTTTAACTAGCCTCATCACAGGTAATTAGGTACAGAATCAAGGGAATGATTTCAGGTTGCAAAAGGGCAAGTTGAGGCTGGACATTAGGAAGAAATTCTTCACGGGAAGAGTGGTCAGACACTGGAACAGACTGCCTAGGGAGGTGGTTGAGTCGCCATCCCTGGATGTGTTCAAGTGTCGCTTAGATGTGGTGTTGGGTGATATGGTTTAGGGGTGAACCTGTAGTGTAGGGTTAATGGTTGGACTTGATGATCCCAAGGGTCTTTTCCGGCCTAAATTGTTCTATGATTCTATGATCTCCTTCTATGACCAGGTGACCTGCTTTGTGGATGAAGGAGAGGCTGAGGTTGTTGTCTGCTTGGACTTCAGTAAAGCCTTTTGGCAGTGTTTCCCACAGCCTTCCGGAAAAATTCGTTATGACTTGGGCATGCCATTTGCTGGGTGAAGAACTGGCTGGATAGCCAGGCCAAAAAAGTGGTGGTGAATGGAGTTAAATCCAGTTAGTGGTTGGTCACAAGTGGTGTTCCCTGGGACTCAGTATTGGGTCCAGTCTTGTTTAGTGTCTTTGTCTAGATGGGGGGATTAAGTGCACCCTTAGTAAGTTTGCAGATGCTAGAGCATGTGCTGAGAAGGGCAGTGAAGCTGGTGAAGGGTCTGGAGCACAAATCTTAAGAGGAGATGCTGGGAGAACTGGGGTGGTTTAGCCTGGAGAAAAAGAGGCTGAGGGGAGACCTTACCGCTCTCTACAGCTACCTGAAAGGAGGTTGTAGTGAGATGGGAGTTGGTCCCTTTTCCTGGGTAACAAACAGTAGCAGAAGAAATGGGCTCAAGTTGCACCAGGGAATGTTTAGATTGGATATTAGGGAAAATTTCTTCACAGAAAGGGTTGTCAAGCACTGGAACAGGCTGCCAGGAGAAGTGCTGGAGTCACCATCCCTGGAGGTATTTAAAAGACAGTGCTTAAGGACATGATTTATTGGTGGACTTGGCAGTATTAGGTTAACAGCTGGACCCAACCTTAAAGGTCCATTTCTAAGTGAATCTGTGGTTCAATATATTGGAACAACAGTTTTATTTTTTGGTTGTACAGTAATTAAAAAATTTTTTAAAAAGTAATTAAAAAATATATTTCCTCATAAGCTTTAAATATAACACTGTATGCATTGCAAAGTTGGTAGGCAAGTGTCGATTGTCTCTAAGAAGATAATCCATGTTTTTGGTTAAGTATGCTTCTGGTACAGAGCACTGTGCATATGGTGGACTCTGTATGTATCAGTAGTGGAAACAGTACTACTAGAGAAAATGATACAGATGTATTGGAGTTCTGTGCAAGTTTTTTCAAGTCCTGCACAATGTGTATTTGTTCATATTGACAAGCTTATTACATAATCTGAACTGGTACATCCGATAGTATTGTGCTGGACAGCAGGGACTTGCCAGCCCTAAAACCACATTGTGAGGTCTTTTGTTGCCTTGTTGCTTTTCTGTGTAATGCTTTCATTGTACATTTCATCAATCTTGTTTATGAAGATGCTGATACCTGCTTTGAGGGGTTTTTTTAGGCTATTTCATTCCCTCATTGTGTAGGTAGCAAGGGATTTGATTTGTGTCTGTTCTGGTGTTTGTAGTAAATCACTGCATTTATGCCAGTTCAAAAGCATCCATCTTTGGTCAAAACACAAAAAACAAGGCAGAAGGTGTTTTATGTTTTCCCCTCATTAAAGTCAAGTAGGTAGTTGTTAACATAAAATATAATTTGGTTTTCTTATACATAATGGTGTTGGTCTACTCCTGTTTAATGTTGCTATCAGTGATCTTGATTCAGTACACCCCCAGTAAGTTTGCAGATGACATCAAGTTAGGTGCTTGCGGGTAGACAGGCTCTTCAGGGTGACCTGGCCAGAGAGGCTTGATGGGCCGAGGCCACTGTAGGAGATTCAGCAAGGCCAAGGGCTGAGTCCTGCACCTGGGTCCCAACAACTCCCAGCAGACTTGGGGAGGAGTGACTGGAGAGCTGCTCAGCAGGGAGGGACCTGGGGGTGTTGATGGACAGCCGGCTGAACGTGAGCCAGCAGTGTGCCCAGGTGGCCAAGAAGGTCCACAGCATCCTGTGGTCAGGAGGAGCAGGGAGTTGACTGTGCCCTTGTACTTGGCACTGGTGACATCGCAGCTCAAAATCCTGTGTTCAGTTTTGGGTCCCTGACTGCAAGAAGGATATTGAGGTGCTGGAGTGCATCCAGAGAAGGGCATCGAAGCTGAGGAAGAGTATTGAGAACAATTTTTAGGAGGAGCAGCTCAGGGAACTGAGGCTGTTTAGCCTGGAGAAAAGAAGGCTGAAGGGAGACCTTGTCGCTCACTACGACTACCTGAAAGGAGGTTGTAGAGGGGTGAATGTTGGCCAAGTGTTGTTACTCCCAAGTAACAAGCGATAGGACCAGATGGGCCTAAATTGTGCCAGGGGTGGTTTAGGTTAGACATTAGGAAAAACTTCTACCTCGAAAGGGTTATCAAAGACTGGAACAGGCTGTGCAGGGAAGTGGTTGAATCACCATCCTTGGATGTATCTAAAAGCCATCTAGATAAATTTTTCAGGAACATGGTTTAGAAGTGGGCCTGGGAATTAGATAGTGATTGGACTTGATGATTGTAAAGGTCTTTTTCAAGCATGACAATTCTATTATTCTAATGCAGTGCTTAAGAAATTAGGAAATCAATCTAAGTAACTGTTAACTTTTGATGTCTTGCATAATATTATTGAACTACAGGTTGATTGTACTATGGCAATTTTTGTATAAGAAGGTGGTTTGGTATCAGATGCAGCTGAACAGAAGAGAGAACAAGAACGCAGAAGAGGAGTCTGTTGTCTCATCCCTTTTAAGTCATATACAGGCGACCCTTCAGTCCTCAGGAGTGGCATTAGAGCAGCATTTGAAGATTAATTGTATATCTGGTTAGTATTTTGGGAAGAACTACAAATACTAAGTGGTTGCATGGTTAACTGAATGCTAGGAAAATTATCGGTAGCTGATCGCCAGATTTAAAAAACAGTTGATAGTGGCACTTTTCCTAAAATTGCAGTCAGAACTATATCTTAAATACATGATGTCCTAGTACGTTTTTATGTTGCATTATAGTCTTTAGAGCTTGTTGAGCTAAATAAAGAGACTGTATGGACTTCATTTGGCTTTGAATCATATCACAGAGAATCTGAACGCAGGATCTGAATTATTTGTACTGTTATTTCCTGTGGGTGGGCATTACAGTGTCTTTTAATGAATCTCTGTGTGGTAGGGCTGTTCGGTCTGTGTGATCACTGTGGGCATGAGCATAGCGTGCACATGAATAGTCAGCCTCAACTAAGCATCTAATCTAGTGTAACCTAATGCTATCAACTTGATCTAGCATAATTTTGCAAAAAAGTATATGGTTGTAGCCTATTTTCTTGCACATTACTGTCCTATGCTCTGTCTTCCTTTCTCTTTCCACACTCATGAGCCTAGCTTTCCGTTTGTCTCCCACCACAATTCTGTTTCCTTTCCATGTTCTTGATCCTTCTCCCTTCAATGGTACTTCTAGCTTCTCTTTCTACATCATTCTGTACAATACATTGCCTCTGCATGATGTCTTTTTCACTCACATAACAATATACACAACTTCCCATGCTTCCTTACCACTCATTCCTTATGTTCTTTATCTTCATTCCATTTGCCAGAGATGTCATGGTTTCTGGATAAGCTAGAGTAGCATATATGCTCATGGGCCAATGAATACCTGAACTGGCTAGCCGCTTGGTTATTTTTTCTGCTTTGCCTGAAACTTGTTCTGTTTTACAGTTACCTCACTGTCAAAGTATTTAGAAATTGTCCAGTGGATTTAAAAAAATGGGAACAGAGGCAGAGTGGTGATATTTAGAAATATATTGTTTGAAACTACTTTAAATAAAAGTTCGAGTTGCTAAACAATTTAAAAATTGCTTTTCATAATGAAAAAACATATTCCACATCATAGGAAATAGATTAGAGAGAATGCCTTTCCCCATTTAAAAAATATTGTGAGTTTCGAATACTGAAGTGTTTAGCTATAGATAACATTTAAAATATTATGTAATCCACAAAAATAGAACCTAATTATGGAAAGCCTTGTGACATGGATTATAACCAGAATTGATTTTTTCATTTAATAGTGATTTAGCAGTTAAAAAAATAGGTGGGGAGGGTGTCATCTTCTCTCAGATGCTCAAAATGTAGATGTGTCTCAGAGTATAAAAATTTACTCACATATCTTATTCTGCTTTTCATAAATTTGTAATACTGAAGTAAGTGTGTATGTATTTGCACATGTATAACTATGTAGAGTTTTTAATTTGTTAGGTATCTGACTTTTATAGGTGAGGAAAAGTTCCTTTTTGGCTCATACAGAGAATCTGTGGACATATGGAAAAAATCTCTTTGTGAAATCAAGGCAAATGGTAAGGGATAAAATATTTGGGGGGGGTTTAAAAGGATAAGTTATATAATCTATGTAGTTATTTTTGACTCTGCACTTCAAAAATGGCAAGACACACGAAGGATGTGTATTTGAAATTAAGCTAGGATTCATATAGAGACTAGTCAAAACTTAAGACTCATTGCTCTGTGAGAAAATTTGTGCATTACTGTTTCACTATCAGATTTTTCTTGAGATTGTGAAGTACTTTGTACTTTGCTCTATGTATATTTCTAAGCAAGAAAGAGATAGTCAAAAACAGATGAACAAAAATGAATTCCTGTAGTGGCTGTAAAATTGTGACAGAAGTTTATTTAGGAGTTGACTTGAAACCAGAGTCTCTTCCCAGACTACATGAGAAAATTTTTACTGCTTATAATGATGAGGAGTACCTTATGCAGAAAGAATTCAAGATGTTGGAAGCTTGGGGGATGTTTAAGCAATTTTGTTGTGGATTGGTTATCCCTTCTTTGGGGGCTGGGCTTCCTTGAGCTCTACTGTCTTTGTGTCTTAACAGTTATACACTATTGTTTTGGGATCTCTAGAAGTAAAACTGTTGTGGATAAGCGTTAACTAACAAATAACTTAGAGGTTATAGGAGGATAACATCTCATAAAGTAACTGCTGCTGATTTATGCTCCTTTTCAGAGTATCTGTTTATGTAAATATCTTTTTGGAGATGGATGAATTAGAACCTTTAAACCTGCTGTTACTGTTTTTATATTTATTGTTTCTTTTCTGACTAGACTTCTTTTCTCCCCTCTTTTAATGCAGGAGGGAAAAGAGCATGTTTTCTTCAGAGTAGATATTATCTTGCAATATTATTTTGCCACCTATATCAGTATAACTTGTGTGAAGCTCAGGGACTCTGTGATCATCTGGTAGGAGAGATTCTACAGCGATCACAGCTCTCAGTAAGAAAGATGGAAGAATTTTCTGGTATGTTTATATTGCATTAAACTGTGATAAGGTACGTTGATACTGTATCTAATTTCTGTGCTGTCACACACACACACACCAGTGTTCTTTCCGCATTGTGTTGAGCTGAAGTCTGCTATCACTGACTTTAAAGATCTTTTTCTGATCCTCAGACATTATTTTGGCTGCACGTGCAGAAGTGAGTCTTCAGACAGCTTCTGTTGTATAATTAATAGTGAAAGTGTGGCCTGTTAAATGTTCTTAGTTTCAAATCTGCTTAAGGAAACACTGTTTAAAAAAATAAAGGGAAACGACTGGGTTGCATTTTATACTGATTCCACTTTATCATGGTGTATCAAAAAAAATAAGCAGTGGATTTCAGGTTAGTCACTAGCCCTAAATTGACAGTGGGATTTTTCTGCAGATGCTTATAGACGTTTTTTTTCTAGTAAGTCAGACTATGAAATATATCCAAATTTAAACAGTTTTATTGACTCAGTGCTGATAAAAATTTAGATACTAGAGGTCCGTTGCTGTTCATTAAAAGCCTAGTATAAAAGCATTTTAATATAATGTGTAATTAGTATAAAAGATGGTTCTGTACCTGCTGAGAGCTTGTCAAGAAGTTAAGTAATACAGTAGTTTGCTTGTTTTAAAAAAAGTTCTATAAGTTGTGATTAAACAGTTTTAACATTCAAATTTAGAATAATTTTCCTCATAATTTAATTTAATTTTATACCTGTTTTTTTAAGATACCAAGTTTATTGATCATGAACTATGGATGGTAACAGATGTTCATACTGAAACTGCTATGGCTGTGATTCGATCCATGGCACGATTCATGGCAGCTTATTTCACAAATCAGCTACTCTATATCTTTCCCCCTCACAATGTTGACATCCTGCATCCAGTTCACATCAAACCAGGTATTTTCTCTAAAAGCAGTTTAATTGCTGTGCTTAACTTCTACCATTTTTCCACATGTGTATCACTGCTGTGCCATCTCTTAAGTACCTCCAGGACTGGTGACTCCACCACTTGCTTGGGAAGACTGTTCAAGTGCTTTCATAATATCTAATCTAAACCTCCCCTGATGTAACCTGAGGCCATTTCCTCTTGTCTTGTCACTTGTTACCTGGGAGAAGAGGGTGACACTCACCTCGCTACAACCTCTTTTCAGGTAGTTGTACAGAGTGATAAGATCTCCCATCAGCCTCCTTTTCTCCAGGCTGAACAATTCCAGTTCTCTCAGTCACTCCTCAGTAGACTTGTGCTCGAGACCCTTTACCAGCCTCATTGCCCTTTTCTGGACATGCTTCAGCACTTCAGTGTCTTTCTTGGAGTCAGGGGCCCAAACCTGAACAGATTTGAGATGCAGCCTCACCAGTGCTGAGTACAGGGGTGCAATCCCTGCCCTCGTCCTTGCTGACCACACTATTGCTGATGCGGGCCAGCATGCTGTTGGTCTTCTCGGCCACCTGGGCACACTGCTGGCTCGTGCTCAAGCTCTTTGTCCCCCCGCAGCCTCAGGTCATTTTCCACTGGGCAGCTTTCCAGTCACTCCTCCCCAAGCCTGTAGCGTTCCCTGGCGTTGTTGTGACCCAAGTACAGGACCTGGCACTTGGCCTTGTTGAAGCTCATACTGTTGACCTTGACATGTTGATCCAGTCTGTCCAAATCCCTCTGTAGAGCGTATCTGCCCTCCAGCAGGTCAACACTCTCACTTGATTTGATGTCATCTGCAAACTTACTGAGAGTGCATTTGATCCCCTTGTTGAGGTCATTGTTAAAAGTACTGAACAGAACTGGCCCCTGTACTGAGCCTTGGGGAGCACTACTTGTGACCAGCCACCACCTGAATTTAGCTGCATTCACCACCACTCTCTGGGCACAGCCAACCAGCCAGTTTTTCACCCCCTGACGGGTGCATCCATCCAATTTGTGAGCAGCAAGTTTCTCCAGGAGAATGCTGTGTGCACTGGTGTCAAAGGCCTTACTAAAATCCAGGTAAAGGTCATCCAAAGCCTTTCACTCATTGACTAAGCAGGTCATGTTGTCATAGAAGGAGATGAGGTTAGTCAAGGAGGACCTGTATTTTACAGACCCATGCTGACTGGACCTCATCACCTGGTTGTCCTGCACATGCTGTGTGATGGAGCAGACCATCTTAAGTGCTATAACCTTCCATAGCGCTGAGGTCAGACTGATAGGCCTGTAGTTGCTCAAAGTCTCGTTCTGGTCCTGCCTGTAGATGGGCGTCACTTTTGCTAACCTCCAATCTACTGGGGCCTCTCCGATTAGCAAAGACAGCTCATACATGATGGAAGGTGGCTTGGTGAGCACTTCTGCTAGACCCCTCAGTACCTTTGAGTGAATCCCATCTGGCCTCATAGACTTGTGTGTGTCTGGATAGTGTAGCAGGTCACTAACCATTTCCCCTCGAGTTAATGGGACTTCATTCTATTGCCCATCCTGACTTGGGGGACTGGTAAACCAGAGAAAAACTGATATTATTAAAGACTGAGGCAGTCAAGCTCTTAGAAGCCAGAATGTTTCAGACGCTGTATCATCAGAAAAGTGGGAGTGTCAAGTTGGTTGTTGTTGAATCCAAGTAATACTTGTTAGTTTAATTCCTGCTTTTCAGCATTTTTCTGAGAATTAGTATTTATTGCAATGGGTGGTTTATTTATTTTCTGCAAGAGATTGTGTTTAAAGATTTCTCTTGTTAGGAAAGTTTTGCTTTCAGAGTTAATTTTTCAAAGTGGTTTAATGTCCACAGGAGTGAATAGTTACTTGGAAGCATTGTAAGCGCTCTACTAGTAAGTTGGTATTACTGTGCCAGATACTTCTCTAAAACATTAACTTACTTCTATTGATTTGATTTGCTGCAGTGTGTTTGAATACACTGGCAATTTTTAATGTTTTTGCACTACAGCATGCACTGGTATATATATGTTCATGGTCTTTGGGATATTTTAGTTGGGACAGCTTTCCAGATAAAACCTACACAATAAGACCTTGATTTAATATTTGCATTATTCAAAGAAACATGAATATAGTAAGACAATCTTGGAAAAAATGCATTGCATAAGCTGGATTTGTGTGACTCTGTTTAAAAAATTGCCTGAACAGTATAGGGAAACTGTGTGAGAAGCAAATATCTCCTTAGAATTGGCATTGATCAGCACCTCTCCAAGACAACTAGGAAATAAAACACTGGAAAAAAAATCTAAACCTTAATAAACAAAGACCTCTAAATTTGTCTCCAGTTTGTCTTGATATGCTCTCTTAAAATAATGTACTGTTCTTTCTCAAAAATGCATTGTAGCTTTCTATTGTCTGCAGTAAGCAGCACAGTGAGTACGAACAACGTAGGTACACTAGGAGAACTCTCAGAATTTTCATTTATCTCAGGTGTACCTTCTGGAATATCCTTAGCATATGTAACGTACTTGGATATGTTCCACCAGTGTAGTTAAATCTTCAAAGTAAGCATAACACAGAAGTTTTGTATGTATCCCACGTTACTAAGCAGAAAAATAGCCTACTCCAACCTCACTGTTGTGTTATAGCATGAGCTGCATCTGCATGCTGTGGATAAACCCTCTATTAAAGAGCAGTTGTATACTGAAATGAATTTAAAAGCAATGTGAACGTAGGAATTTCAGGTTATTCATCTGATAGCATACAGATTTATTTAAAATACGGGTTTTTTTGTTTTGCAGACTTACCTCCTCGTATGATTCCACTGCAACACTGTTTGGTTGCCAGAGCAGTCAGGGACCAGAACCTTTCATCTGTGTGGACAGCTGAGTATGCTCTTGATTTGTTCTTTATTGGAGGACTCATTCCAGAGGCTGTGTGGTTAACACAAAGACTTGGGGACTGGAAACTGTCCATTTCAATTGGTGTAGCCTACCAGCTGTATTGCCAGAACTCTGATGAATTCCCAAGGTAAATTTGAGCTTAGAATTAGTATATTGTATTTTGTTAATGATGTTATTTACATGAAGTTTATTGTAACAAGGCATATCCTTTGCCTCAAAAATTCATATTCCTAGACTTACAGTAGATGTAGGACCTAACATGTTGAGATTAGTATTTTGTCTTAGATACTCATTTAACAGAGCTTCATTAGATTATCTGTGGATTTTACTTTGTTATTAATGTACACTTTCTTGTTACACTTTCAGATTGAAGAACACAGAATGTCACCTGCCATTAAGTTTATCGCCAATGCAGACTTTTCAGGAAAAGTTACAGTCTTTGTTAGGACAGCCAGTTACTTCTGAAACATCAGGATGTATTAGATACAAGCAGTTTACAGGTACATGAAATAATGAATAACTGTTTATTTCTCATGGTATTTCACTGCATATTCTGTGCTATATGCTGTCTTAAAAAGATACTATTACCTTGTCGACTCTAATGTGTGCATTACTCTAATGATGTGTTGAAATACATTAATGTTATAGGGATTTGGGTTTTGGCTTTCAACATTCTAGAAATTGACTAGATCATTCTAGAAATTGACTATATTTTCAGTCTAGTCTTATTTGTGCCTATCAGCTGGCCTTGAACATACAGTCCTTCCAGTAGCTAGCTGATCTGTTCAATTTTGGGTGCCGCAGTATAAGAAGGACATCAAGGTGCTGGAGCAGGTTGAGAGACAGACAACAAAGCCGGTGAAGGGTCTGGAGAACAGGTCTTTTGAGAAGCAGCTGAGGAAATGGGTTATTCAGTTGGAGGAAAAGAGTTTGAGGGGAGACCTTATCACTCTCTACAGCTACCTGAAAGGAAATTGTAGTGAGGTGGGGATTGGTCTCTTCTCCCAACTTACTAATGGTAGCACAAGAAGAAATAGCCTCAGGTTGTGCTACAGGAGGTTTAGATTGGATATTATGAAAAATTGCTTTACTGAAAGAGTGATGAGACCTTGGAACAGACTTCTCAGGGAAGTGATGGAGGTACTATCCCTGGAGGTGTTCAGAAAACGTGTAGACGTCGCACTTCAGGACATATTTTAGTAGTGATGGTGATAATGGGTTGACAGTTGGACTTGATGGTCTTGAAGGTTTTTCCAAACTTAATGATTCTATAAAGTTTCTATAAAAAGTTTAGAGGTGCTTCACCCTTAGAGATGCACAAACCTTTGCACACGCTGTCTTTCTGGCAGGTGATCATGACTGCCTTGGTCCTTCCAGTATCCAGAGCCCCTTCTTTTGCCCTTAGGGACATGCAGACAACACAAGTAGGTTTCACAGTCATCTCTCTGGTAGTCAGCCAGATCTTCACTGGTCCCTCCAGTCATTGCCAACGCCTGTGGTCCACTCTTGCAAGAGCGAGATGCACGCACCCCGGGTTGCTTCACGTAGTTGTCAGTTAGTCTGACTTGATACTTGCTGGCACTCACACACTGACTTGCAGAGTCTCGCTTGCCCCAGTTACTGGTACCAGGGATACGTGGGCACTCTGACCCATGTCCCTCTCCAGTTGCTGACACTTGAATTTGACTTAACTCCAGTCTCTGCAATTGCCGATGTCCCAAGACACACAGGCTTTCTGACCAATGGTTCTCACACTTAAAATCCTGCACACAGGCACACAGAACACCAGGAAAATAGACATGCTGATAGGGCCCATCAGAGGTCAGGCTGCCACAACTCTGTGCCATACCTTTGGTTTCTTTCCTATAGATCCAATAATGAGCCTTGTGCAATCCCCAAAAGCTCTTCCCCTGCATCCTGTGGTATGTTCTATCCTTCTTGTCAAATCAAAAGGTATTGAAGAAAGTAACTCCCATTGCCTCATCTTGATGGGTTTGATACCTGGGCACTGGTGCTGATGGCTCTCCTGGGAAAAGCCCGGACAGAGTGTCCCTTTCTCTGAGTGCATAATTTGCTATTGTGCATCTCTGGGCTTGGGAAAATGATTTTTTTTTTACTGTGAGAAGATGGGTCTCTGTATTATTCAGGTTCCCACACGTGCTTTTGTCTCTGTGCTTCTTTGTATGTGTATGTATGTACTTTTTATCATATAACCTAACAATGGTTTACTGCTGAAATTCGCTGAGTTAGCTAGATAAACCTACCCTTGTTTACATTTTACAAAAAGTTTACTAGCACAGTTTCTATTTCTTCCTTCCTTTTTGTGTGTTTGGAAACCACATTTCAAATTCCTGTCAGCAGGTGGATGTTAATTAATCTTTGTTTAAGCCATATATCAAGCACTGTCTGGATTCTTTTTTTTTGTACTAATTTCCAGGTATTTTATTTCAAACAGAAACACAGATACGCATGCTGTATCTACCAGTCTGTAAGTATGATGGGTAGTGGAAAGATTTGGCAACAAATCTCAAGACAAGCAGAAGACTATAAATGGTAGTAGAGCAGTAAAATATACAAATTTTGAGGAACCAATTAGTGGTATGTATTAAAGATCCTGCTACTTCAGGAAAGGAGAAAAAAATGTAACGATATGTAAAAGAGATCAAACATACCTTTCCCTTTCCTTAGTCATCATGGTCACTGAAAAGAAGAATTGCTGTGGTCATTTTTAGTAGTATGTGGTGTATGCCTGGTTGGTGAGAATGATTTGCCAGAATTTTATGCCAAGCCAATGCATAGCAAAAAAGTTCAGTTCTCTATTTAGAAAGCCAGTAGCTTTCCCCTTAATGTACTTTTAAGTAGATGCAATGTATACATTGCAATATATGGAGATTCTGAGAGTGTAGCTTCATATTTCAGAACGAAGACCAGGTATTAATTGTATTGATTAATTCATTGCTTTCTGTGCCTAATTTTTTGTAGATCCCATTGAAGAGGAAGATGCAAATGTTCTTTATAGTTCAATACAGGAACTACTGAAAGCAGCTGTTATGGCAGATGCTGATATTCTCTCTGAGACATTTCAGCTTTTGATGGATTCTGCCAAGGATCTTAGTAGAAAATTGTATGGTTTAGTTCCAGATGGGCTTTATCTTCCAGCACCACCATTGTACTGTCCTCAGCCAGCTTCTCTCAGTGAAGTAAGTATGCATGATAGAAGTTCCTTGGTTTTTTCGTTTGAGTCTATTTATGAAGTAATCATGATATTTATTCTGGTTCCTTTTGGTTCATTTTTCTGTCAGTTTTTATTGTGCCCATTCTGTTACTTAAGTAGGACTATATTGATAAGAAGGTATGTGTGTTTCTGTGGTTTTTTCCATAAAGCATCTGTGCTCTAAAGAGGGGAAACATTCTTAGAAGCAGAAACAACTTTTAGGTCAAATTCCTTATTGTGCATGTCCTTTCTAATTTGCTGTCTTGTTTTTGTCTTTTGAATTTGCATTCTTCAGGAAGACTGCAATGACATTCTTTTAAAAATTGAGAAAGAAACTCGTCAGAAAGTGTCAGGAGTTCTTCAACGAGTTATCTTGCTTTTCCGGGCAGCTCATTGTTCATGCCCTGCAGCACAGTGGTATGTTGCACAACTGAAGTGGGCAAGAAAAGTTATGCAGAAAGTAAGCATTTAACTTGATTTTTTGTAACTTGATAATCCGTTGTCAATATTACTGACAAGCTTACAGTTGCTTTACAGAAGCAGTCTTATCTGGACTTTGCCCTATTTTTTTACATGCCATCCTCTAGTTTTACATGCTATGTTCAATGTCTCCTTCTGTGTGTCTTTCAGTAGTCACTTGGTAAAATACAAATTCATTTCTTCTCCATTTGAAAGAAATAAGCTGATTTTAATTGGGAGTTATAGCTGTTAACTGGACACGCATTCCATATCACTTAGGGTTGAATATATAAGAGAGTGTGATGCTTACTTCAGACAAAGTGGTCATCTTAGTGTAAAGAGCATAGGACTTAGGAGATCTCACTCTCCTCATGCATTTTGCTTGCACGAACACATGCTTGAAATATATTGGTTAAAAGTTTTTGTGTAAACTCAGGCTTTGCAGAATATCACAGTCACAGACTCACAGAATGTTAGGGGCCAGAAGGGACCGCTAGAGATCTAGTCCAGCCCCCCTGCCAGAGCAGGATCACCCAGGGCAGCCACACAGGGACGCATCCAGGTGGGTTTTGAAAGTCTCCAGAGGAGGAGACGTTTTCTTAGGTCATTGTTACACAGCCACTCAAAGAAGACTGACTTGCTGCAGAAAGATGTCTGTGTAACTGCCTTTCCTCAGACCCCTGCACCAACATTCACGCAGTGATCCAGATCAGGAACTGGTCTGACTGAAAAATACTTCTTTCTGTTTGTTCACTGCATTGTCACATTTAATGCTGGCGTGGAGAGGTGATCAGAAGTAACAGCTGAAACAGGAGGGAAAACTAGTCTGCCTTAGTTGACAGCAGCCTGGACTTTGTTGGATTAAATTGTTTTTTAATTGTTACCTTAGTTGTTCTTATACTTCATGTCTTTTGTATTTTATGGTAATTTTGAGTATGATGAGTACAATGCAAACAAAAGCATCTTTTATGCCATAGCTCATACTAAACATATTTCTTTAAATGAATTTTCAGAATATCAATTTGAAGAAAATGGAAGGCAAGCTTAAGGGAGTTTTGCTGGTCTTGGTAGTATTCTCCTGATAACTAAGAGGCTTTACATTTAGTAGTGCTACATACAAAAGTCTAACTGATTTTTATTTCCATTTTGATTGTCTATTTGTTTTTACTATCTATAGATTCGAATTAAAGGATCTCTTCCTCCACTGAGTCCATTCCCAGAGACTTTACTTCGTTACTCCAATTTCCACACCGTTTTCAATAGGTCCACGTCTTCTGGAGACCACCAGTTTGATGATATTTGCTGTAAAATTTTAGGTCTGTATGCAATAACATTGAATAATTTAGAGCTGGAAAAAGACACAAGTGAAAATCCAAAGGAGCAAAGAATCTTTTATTAGCCTGAAATGGTGTGCTGTAACGTGTGCAGAAACACATTCGCTTTCCAGCTTTTGTAGTCTGTCAAAACTCTTAATCTGAAAGTTGCGGTTCTGGATTGTTACATATGTTATAGATCTGACAAATGTGGAAAAACATGGGCACTAAGTGGAACTAAAGAGTTCTAGCTGCAGACCACTACTGAAGACTCAAGAATGAGTAATATTTTTCTTTCAACTACAGTTAAGATCATGATGATTCTCTTATAGCAAAATATATCAAGCTGTTTTATATCATTTATTTAAATAAAGTCTCACTATATTGCGTGTTTGTGTTGTAGGTTGCTTCAGAGAGCTGTGTGCATTGTGTTGGATGTTTCATGTTCGTGAAAGATTATCTGACAACTGTAGACGGTACCAAACTGCAAGGGAGAATATTAACAATCATAAGGTAATTATATCCTTAACATAGTAAAGATACATTTCATTTGCATAAAGGTATAAGAAGAATTCTAAAGATGTGCTGTGTATTTCTGTAAGAACTTTTATTCGCCTTACAGGACAAAATTAGCATTGTGATACAATATGCAGCAAGTATTTGTTTCTATATAGAGTATAGAATAGTGCTGTTCTTATGAACTACCTCTCTAGTAGTAATTCTGCTTCATATCTGACATAGATAGTTGAAGAGGTACTGCCAGAAGAGCAATAGTTTCTACACGTTGTCTACCTAAGCATTTACTTTTTTTTTACTTTAAAGATATTTGGGGTATTTCCTGACCAATGCATATTTAATGCACAATTTTTTTTTTGTGCCATATACATGGTTTGCAAAAAAATAATGAAAAATACTAAAATTTAATCATGTTTTCTCTACTTATATCCTCATTAATTGATGTCAGAGTTGTAGGAAGGAAAAGAAAGAAACTGCTAGCATGATATTTGTCATATATTCAGTAACAGTACAGATGCTGATCTTTATCCTAGCTAGTCCTTAGTAAAGGTTGCTTCCTCTTTAAAGTAATCCCAAAATTGCTCTTCATCAGAAAAACTGAGTTTGAAACAAACAGGATGGCTCTGTTTCAGATTTTCTGATTTTTCTGTGCTTTGTGTGATAGTGACAAATGTGATAAAACACTGATTGAAAAACTGATGAACTGATCCATCTTAAAAGTCTCTTGGTTGGCTCAAATCTTGCGCTCCTCAGAAAGAACTTATGATCACCTCAAGTCACTGAAATTATGTACTTCACCTGGTAATTCAGGATATTTAGTCAGTTACAGCAAGTTTAGGCAAATTGCCACATTTTACTCTAAATGGCTGCAAACAGCAGTGTTAAAGGAATTATTTCCTAAGCTGATTTTTAAAAGCTCCTATTAATTTTTTTCCTTTCTTTATTTATTTATATAAGTTTTATGATCCATTGCAACCTTGATCTGTGTCCTAGCATCATCTACTTCTCTGTTTGTCAGTGAAGTTAGAGATTTTTGGTTTTTGTTGGCTAGGGAAGAACCATTGCAATTTGCAGTCTATGGATAATTTAGCTGAAGTATGCTGTTTGTATCAATTAATGTTTCTATAACAAGGTGGTTTTTTTTAGAACCTGAAGAAGAATGGACATGATGGCTCCACAGTTGAGCATTGCCTGAATGCAGTGGAGTGGGCTTGTCGAATGCTTCCTTTCTGCAGATTCTTAAATATTGAAGAATTAGTTCAAGATATAATTTTGAGTCTACTTGGAGAATTGCCGCCAGTGAAAAAGGTGAAAGACATTAAAGTTAGGATAAAAGCAATAAAGATGGTCACAAATACTTCTTCTACTTGTAGAAGTTATGGGTTAGTCTTTCTACAACTGTAAGTTCTCTTTGAAATTTTATCTTATTTTTGTGTTAGCTACTCAAAAATATACTTTATTTTACCTTATCGGAGCCTTCCAGTACCTGAAGGGTCCTACAAGACAGCTGCAGAGGGCCTGTTTAGAAGAGCATGTAGTGATGAAGGGCAATGGTTTTAAACTGGAGCCAGGTAGATTTAGATCAGACTTTAGGAAGAAGTTCTTTACCACACTGGAACAGGTGGCCCAGAAAGCTAATGGAGGCTCCATCCCTGGAGATATTAAAGGCCAGGCTTGGTGGAGCTCTGAGCAACCTGATCTAGTTAAAGATGTCCCTGCTTAGTGCAAGAGGGTTGGACCAGATGACATTTAAATGCCCGTTCCAACCCCAGTGCATTCTATGATTCTGTGATTGGTTTTGTGCAGGTGGCAGAGGTTTTTGTAAAAGCATTTCCTAATCCTGAAGATATAAGAGTTCCACTAAGAGATAAATATCATGGACTTCAGCAACGACTCAGACACAGTATTGTTAAAGGTAATGTGCATCCTTCTTTGGGAAATATTAAGAGGATATTTCTCTCTTACCTTACTTATTTAACTTGTGAAAATACCTACTTTCACACTCCATGAAACAGTTTTCAGTTAGATGACTTTGAGTAAGTTTTGTGTCAAATTCCGTGTTTTCTTTCTGGTATGTCTGTAAGAGTAACAGAATGTCATGACTTCCAAGTTGGTGGTGCTTCTTAATTTTATCATAGTTCCTGTCTGTATTTCTCAGTGACTCTATCATGATTCAGAGTTCGTTCTCGTCTCAGTTTGTAAGAACAGTTGAAAACTGAGAGGTTTGCATTTAAAATCTCTTGATTTTTCTTTCAGAAAGTGAAGAAGTGATGTCTGTTGTCCTACAGGCTACTGAAAAAGTGAGAATGAAGGCCCTGAGACGTGTAATAAGGAACATAGGCCCCATAGAAATTCATATTTGGGAGCCAGCAGAAGAGGGAGCCGCAGATGATGAGGCACACTGTTACGACAGATTCTCGTTAGGCACTAGTCTAAGCAGAAGCACACTTACTGATCTTAGCAGTCCTCAGATATATAGTGATGCTGACACAGCAGATACGATTTCTGATGCTTTGTTTACTGAAGATACAAGAACTCACATATCTTCACTCCAAAGGTAGGAAAACATTGCAACAGAAAGCTTTCTACTTAAATTTAAAAAAAAATAATAAATAAAATATAGTTGTCTCTCACTGTACAGGCAATTCTTTCACCAAACAGGGTAATTGTCACTTTGGCTAACTTATCAAATGAAGAATTACAAATGTAACGAATCTTTGAACTGCCAATGTTATATCAGTTACCATGTGACTAATATGGTACTGAAGTGTAAATTACTATGGACTGTGACCAAGTTTATATATGATACTGCCAAACTGCTGTCTATGCCGGTTAGCTCAGTGGTTTGAGCGCGATGCTGACAATGACCAACACCGACGTCACAGGTTCGATTCCCACTCGGTCCCCATGTGTTGCCTGGTCTACTCCAGAGGTGGCGTCCCTGCCCATGACAGGGAGGTTGGATTAAATGATCTCTTAAGGTCCCTTCCAGCCTAGGCCAGTCTATGATTCTGTGTGAAAAGTATGGATTTTACATTTGATTAGTTACCTTAACATTGTATTAATGTGAATTTGAGTTTGTTAATTTCACATATTTAGCAACAGAGGAAAAGAAGGAGCTAATGTTCCATTTACTTACTTATCCATGTAGTTCTTAAAATGGATTTTGGCATTAACAGTATTTATATTTGTTATCTTACAGGGATAATGTACATCATAGACAAGAAGAAGCAAGTAGCAGAAATACTAAATGCAAGATAAAAGCTTTTAACTGGAAAGCAAAACAAAAAGTATCTGGAAAAGACATGGATAATGAATGCAATTTACCTGTAGTTGGTACATGGGAATTTGAACGTGATGATGATGAATATGTTATTTTTTTAGAACTCTTTTTGAGTTATATTCTTGAGAGAGATCTGATAAAGTACAGTGACCTTGGAATTCCATTTCTTACCAGTTTTTCTGGACTTCTTCGAGAGCATGAGTTAAACTCTCTCCTTTTTGATGTTCATAAAACGCTAAAACGTCGACAAGGCAAAACTAGAAGTCAAAATGTGTTTAGAGCAGGGTCTTGCTATACTGTCACCCTGACTTCTTTTGATCCTGAAACAGTGTCTGTCTATAATGAAAACCAAAATATTTTGGAAAATCCAACCATTGTCCAGTCCATTGTACAGACAGCAGAACCTCATGCACCTAACCTAATGAAAGGATTTAATGAAGGATTATTTGGTTTAAAACACAAGTCAATTTATAGAGCTTCAAATGACAATCAAGGAGTCACTGTTGTTCCTGCAAGCCGGAGCTTTGCTGACCATACTTTACCGAGCCTGCAGACTCAGGCAGCTCCTAAATACATTTACAGAACTGTTGATTCACTTGATATTGTACCAGGAGAAGAACTAACTATAGAATTAATGGGTAAGCTGGGTAATATTGCAAAATTGATTGAGTGGATGATCAGGTGGTCTGATAAAAGATTGCTCTGTGGCTCAAATAATCAAGATTCCTTGGAAGAGTTTTATCCAGTGATACGTGTGAAAACATCAGCAGCTGCTGTCCTTACTTCGTTGTGGCTGTTAGGACAGTTATGCAAAGCTGGATCTCGAGCAAAGAACATAAAATGTAAGGTAAGAAAGAGGATGGGATGTCAATGAAATGTGTGAGTTAGTCATGCCAGTAAAGAAAATGACACACATCTTTTAAGTCATAGAATCTTTTAGTTGTGGTCTCAGTAAAACCTGGAATATTGACTAATAGCCTTTCCTTTAAGGGTTTCTAGGAAAAGAGAAATGTTCCAGGAATACTGTCATTCTGTCTGTAGGAAGACTTTGGTTGGCAATTAAAGCTCTCATTGGAAGCCCAAGTTAAAATCTCATTTCTCTAGATACTGCTTTATTTGAGCAAATTCCTACAAGTTCATCCACTGGGTCTAGTTTTAGACATCACCTATGAAGGAACCTAGTTTTGGAGTTAGAGTATGGACAAACAAGAAAAAGAATAGAGTTGCTCCGGGGAGACTTGAATTTAGGTTAATTTGTCTTTAAGGACAGTCCAGGTGCAGTCTGACTGGAGTATTTAAACTAGTTAAAGATCGGTGAAGAGTGAATCTTGAATTTCTGTCTAGCACTGTTAGACAAGAGTGGGAGAATGTGTGTTAGTACTAAAGAGATTTGTCTGAAGAACCTAAAGAGTATTGCTTTATTTTATATTTAAGGACAACCCGGATCACTTATTGAAAGGCTGAGGGGAGAGGGTTCTGGGGTTTTTTTGAGAAGACTCTTCTCCCAGCCAGAATGAGATTTTGTCTTGCTTTTAGTTTGTGTTTTCTGACAAATGTCATCTGTATTTTACTTAAACATACTGCCAAAATTTTGTGTGTGCATGTAACTGCATGATGGAGTATGGCTTTTTGCCTCTCATACTGTGTTCAGTGCTAATTTCAGAGTTTCCTGTTACGCATGATGAAGGCCAAATCGTACTGTGTATCTTTGTACGGAGTATATTTGTCACATAGCACCTCTGGTGACACTCAGCGATACTGAAAAATCTTTCATTTTATGTTTCTGTTGGATAATTCAAAAGACCATTGCTTCACACAATGCAAAAAGAAGCAGGCAACTATAAATCCAGAATTTCTCAGGTCTATAGTAGAGAAAAGAATACAAAGTTAAACATCCTGTGTAAAAATCATTGAGTGTTCTGTTAAAGTATCGGGTATCTTTCTTTTTTTCCTGTTTTCTTTTTAGTTAGTGATTTTTTTTTTTTATCATCATTATTGTTATTAATAGAGTCCAGACGATCAATGTATGAAGGAATTCACGTCTCTATCAGAAGTCCAGTCTAGGACAGAGAAAGAAAGTAGTATGGATGGAGGCTCTTCCATACTGGCCAATCCTCTTTTTGATGGTCAGAGTGTACAAGCCTATGATGATCTTTGTGAAACTCATTTGGGGTAAGTTTGGGGTTTTTTTTACATAAGAACTCTAGCTAGTTGTAATTCCTTAGCTAAGCAGCATGTCAATATGAAGACGTCTGCTGTTACTGTGTGTTATACGCATGTTTAAGTTTGAGTGCCACTGCGTTTATTGTAATTGAGATGAGAGTTCACATGTTAGTTTGTTTTTCCCTGGATCTGTAATCTAGCTATGTTCATGTCTGTGCATGTCAGAAAAGTAGATGGAAAAGGCATTGAATATTTTATTAATATCAGGCACAGTTATGAAGATGTCCTGTGTGACATTTCATCTTCTGTGCTAAAAAACCAGATCTTTGATATTAGTATTCTAAAACATTACTGTGTGTCTTCTCTGACAAGAATGTCTTTTTTAATAAAGTAAGTTTATGTGAGGCAGACAAGTGTAGTCTAACCAGATGATTTAGAAGTCATGGTGCAGTTTACGCCTTCCATTTTTGGTAGATCTTAACATCTTGGTTACGTTTTTCTGGAAACAGCCCATCTGAAAGACTGTACCATTAATGTCACTAAAATATCACAGCTATATAAAAAAATAATAATCCTTGTTGAAGTGAAGTTCAGAGAGGAAATTTGTAAGAAGTATATCACAGCAGTATTTATTTTACAGTCATGCACTAGCCTGCAATCTCAGAGGAACAGCATACTTAAACTAAGTCAGATAATTTTATTTCTGTTGTTAATTACCTTTTGTAATTCCAATTACCAGAATGTCTACAAAGTTAAAATATTCTGATAAGAAGGAAATTAATCATGGGAGTTGTTCTATACCTCATATGACTGAAGATCTTAATGAAGTGGAACCATTTGTTCCGGAAGAGTTAGATGTAACATCAAAAAGAGAAGGTTTGTTTTTATGGTATATCCTTTTACTGGGGTCTGACATACGAGAATGCAGGAGTTTTCCCTGAATTGGATTATATGAACCTCCACTTATTTAATAAAAAAAATGGAACTAATTTTTCATCGTTCTATTGTAAAATTATTATTGTGTCTGTTTCATATTATAACTAAATTTTATACAGTTGCTTTCTCAAAACTTTAAGTTTTTCATTTAGGTGAAAAAACATTTTGCTATAGAAATAGGATGTTTACAGATAATATATATTAATGTGTTTCATTCTCTCATTTAATTTCATTCCAAAAATATTTATGTAATTGTGTAAAATATGATTTGAAAATTATACAAGCTGAGAATGCATAAGTTAAATTTACCCTATTCCCACTATGAAAATAAGCTGCTTTTCTTTTTTTCTTTCAGGTGCATATGTCATCACTAGTAATAACACAAATTCAGAAATTCAGAATTTGCTGAGACTTTATTCAACCTCTTTCTGCTTGCTAGCGGAGGGAGTGGGCTGGTGTGACCAGTGACTGGAATCACATTAACATTGCTCTGTGTCATGTAGTTTTCTGATTTAGAGTAATTGTGTTTTATTTTGTAGATTTCTTTGAGGAGGCATATGAAACTCCAAAGAGCTCCAATAGCTCTGTCAAGATCAAACCTGTAGAACATCAAAGAGACAAGGCAAGTTATGATCTTGCATAGAAGGATCAAATTGTTTTGAATACTCTTTTCAAAATATCCTTAGTTCCTCAGTATACCTAAGAACTTGAGGGCTTTTCAAGCATGTAGAGTTAGAGATTTTTTTCCTTGCTGAAGTCAGTAGTAAAAATCACTAGTAATTAAGCAGAAGTAAAGTGAGATTACTGTAAGCACTTTAGAAAACTGATTCATTATCTCCAAAAGTAAATATGTGCATGCCTATGTATATAATTTATACAATCATATAGAGAGATTTCATTCAATCTATATAATGTATAACACGGTATATGAATCCATTAGGTTATGTATGCCTATATATATTTATATGTGCATACATGTATATATAAAAGCATGTAAATTAAAAAATAAGAAACAGATGGATTTCTGGTTAATAGACCAGATCTTCATATGTGTTTTATTTTGCTAGAAAACTGTATTAATTTTATTTTACTTTAAAAATAGTTACTGCCTCTGAAGTTGTCACAGGTTGACTAAATAAAGACTCTACCATTTGTTTGCATGTTTTTAAATTAAATATATAAAGTTCATTATTTTTCTCCTGTGTGAGAAGTCCATCTGGATCTGTAAACGTGCCTTGTTTTTTGTGCAACATCTTTGGTTTTAAGTCTCCTTTCTTTGAAATTGACTGTTAAGCCAAAATAGGAATTGCAGTGCCATCTGTTTACTTGTCTGAAGCACTCTAAATTTGGTGCGTTAATGGAATTAGAAACAACAAACGTATTGTTGTCTTCAGTTCTACGACACGTTTTACTATAGTGAATCTGTGGCATGTATAAAACCCAAAATTTGTTTCACTTCCTTAACTTATAGATAGTTTGTGTAGGGTTGTTTCCACATTTTCATCTTTACCTGAGGGGGTGCGAGATTACTTTAAAAGGAAGGATGCTCAGATGAATCATTAGGACATCTTTTTAATTCTGATTTATAAGTATGTAGCTTTTCAGTTAGATTTTTTCAAGTGGCTGATTAATCAAAAAGTGTATTTGCCTGAAACTTATAAAATAATACTTTATTGAAGTAGAAGTGGGATATAAAAATTTACAAGTTCAGATGCATCTTTTTATATTCCAGCAGGTCTCTGTTTTGGATGTAGATAGTCCCCGAGAAGATCAAAACGCAGAAAAAACAAAGGAAGAAAAGGCTAAACAGGATATGTGAGAGACTTGTCCTTGTTTTAGTTTTTCTTTTTAATTTGCTAAATATTTTTGTTAATTGCTGTTTTTCATAGCAACAAACTCATAGTTTGAAACAAGATTTCAGTCATATTTCACATGTTACAAGTGTTTCACATATACAAAGTGCTGTGTGGATAAGTGATTATTTTAGTAATAATCAAGTAGGAGAGACACTGTTTGTGGGAAGGTGCATTTTTGTATATGGGATAGAGATTAAATGGAAAAGCTTGCAGATGAACAATTTGTTTTCCAGACCTGAAGTAGGAGCAGCATCTTCAGTTTAAATACAGGTGGAGAGTTGTTATTCTAGGAAATTTCAACAGTTAATTTGTTACACAACATACAAGAAAGCTGCATGTCAGGGAAGCAGAAGGTGTGATAGAAATGGATATGGGCAATAAGCTTCTTAGCTTCTGAAAGAGGGAGGGAGGTATTTCACACATTTAATTTGTTATGATATTTTAAAAGTTTTATGTTTTATGATGTATGTAAAATTATAGGAACAGTCTGTAAACCTGATTGTTGCATCATGTGTTTGAATTGATTACTTTTCATTTGTTTAGATAAGTTCTAGTTCTCTGAAGTTTTTCAAGGGAAGAAACTGAATATTGTGTAGAAACAGAGTTTGTTGTGTTTTGCATGAGGAATCTTGGTTTCAGTTAGCTTTCTTCTTGAATCCACCAAATTTTGCCTGAATGTCTTAGATTTAGAAAATACTTCTTACTGTGCTGGCATATAAATAAATATTCCTGAAAACTGTGAAGAACTTTTAAGTAACTTAATTTTAGAAAGACTTAGTCCTCTACTATTGTGAACTCCGATATATTTTTATTTTGAAAGAATCAGGAATAACTGCAGATGAGGTGCCTCTCAAAGATTTATTTTCTTTTTTAGAAATGTAGATTGTAAATATATTAACAATATTGCATAAATTGGATTTTCACTTCTTTTGTCAACTTAGATCAAGCTCTTTGTCTGCTGTATGTGTTGAATAGCCAGAACCTTTTCAGTGTGTTTGTTTGAGTTAGTTTCTGATTGCTAGGGAGACGAAGCATGAATGTCAACATTTGCCAGCTCAAATCACAGTGCGATGCAGGTCAATATTGCTCTGACCAGGTATTTTATCTCGTAATTAAAATATTTTTCAGGAGGATATATATATATATATGCATATAATTGTTTATGAAATGAAAATAAACAGCGTAACAAATAATTGTAGTATTTACAATACTTACCCTTTTTCTTTATAGCATGACCGAAGTTCTTTCTAGCACCATTTGTCACTCATTCTCTTTAGAACAAGATGCAGTAGTTGCCAGGTAAGATAAACCGCTAATATTTTATATAATAAAAAATGAACTATCCCTTTTAAATTTTCAGTTTGAAGTAACATGATGTATTGATATGATAACAAAATATTTGCAGATATAATACAGTGTACCTGCAAACTGTACTATTGAGTAGCCTTTCCTGAAACTTATTTTTGCTGTAGTCCTTGAGGATCCTGTATTCTTGCATGTTCTCCAGAGTGTGGCATAAATCAGACATGTGAATTCAGAGCTAACAGCCTTGAAGAGAAGTGATACTTTTGTTTTCTAGTTCCAGACAGAATCATTATAATTATATAGTATTATTATCAAAGATAGATTGTTGCATAAAACACCTAAACAATAACATTATAAACTTATCTTTTAATAATATTGTTAATATATATATGTCCTACAGCAGCTGCTAGGTACACATAAATGTAAATCAAAATAGAATAAGATTCTGGAAAATAGTAT